GGGGGGGTGTCGGCATGGACTCGGGTTGACCCCCAGTTGCCTGGGGGAGGGGGTGTTTATTAATAGGAAACAGTGATAAACCCCTCCCCGAAGGGGAAGAAGGAGGGAACTCTCTAAACCACCGACGCCCAGAGAGCTGGTGGGATTACGAATAAGCCACACTTGGTTTATGGCCGGATTCACATGCGCCAAACGATTTCCAAATGATCGTTTTAACATGTCGCGTTCTTCATAGTGTCCCCCAGGAGCGCGTCGGAACCCTTCAGACGCCCCGGCGGGGCCGTTCGGATTCCGATTCGTCGCGGCAAGACTCGAAGATTCTTGAGGAACCCTGAGGCATCTTGAGGACTTTCAAGCGTTTTCGCGCGCGCGCCACCCCCTTGGATGACATGAGGGGGGGAAGGGATGAGGGGGAATGGGGGGGGCGAGGGGAGGGGGGGGAGGGGGAGGGGGAGTGCGCAGATGAAGAGGCGGAGGAACACCTGTGGCTCGGGAGGGGCTTCGATTCCTGAGCCGTGCATTGGGTCAAAGCCTGGAAACCTGCTTTTGGCCAAATTTTATCGTTCGTTATCGAAGACGCGTACGGCGAATCACCGCCGCCCCCTGCCTTTTGGAAAGCGCCTCTGTGGCCAAAAGGTGGACCCCAGATTGGCCAAGCCATCGGGCAATGTGTTCCCCCGGCCGTTTTGGAAACTATCGGGGCAACATTTGGTGGATGATGGGGGAGGATCAGGAGAGGGTGGAGGAGGAAGAGGAGGAGGAGGAGGAGGAGGAGGAGGCCTCTTGGGAGCCTTTTGGGGCACTCTGGGGGCCTCTTGGGAGCTTTCTGGGGTCCTCTTGGAGGCTTTTTGAAGGCCTCCTTGGGCCTCCAGGGGCCTTTTGGAGTTTCCGGGGGCGCCCCCTTGGCCGTCCCAGGGCGTTCCTGGTCCCACTGACGGCGTCGGAATGCGTCTTGCGGGCCTCTCCAGGCCGTTGTCGGGCCCTCTTGCGGCGCTTCAGAACCCATCCTAACTATGCGGGCTTCTCGAAAATTGTAGCATAATTCAGTGGGGCCCTTACGAAAGCACGCCGTGCTAACTCCCCGGGCAATTTGCGAGAATTCTCATGTGAACGCCTGCGGCTCCCCGCGAAAGCGTAATCCGAACTCCTTTGGCCTCTTACGAAAACCTTATCATATGTCATGGTGGCCTTTGCGTGAAATGTGGTGCTGGCTCCCAGCGGACGCCCTATCCGAATCGTTGGCACCTACGAAAACCCTATCCCAACTCACTGGGGCAATTGCGCAGACATTGCGCTAAACTCCTCGGACTCCTCACGAAAATCCTCGTCTGATCTCCGTGGGCTCACCGCGAAACTCCTGGCCTAAACCGTTGACTCCCGTACGAGAACTTTATCCGGACTCGTTGGGGCCCTTGCGAACACATCGCATTCCATCTTAACTCCTTCAGCCCCCAGCGAAATCCTTACCCCAAGTCCTTGGCCCCCTTACGGAAGCCTTATCCTAATTCTTTACGCTTCGCGTATCCCCACCAGCCCATCTCAAAACAGCAACTCTTGCGAAGCATGCCGACAGTCGTGTTTTTCAGGCGTGTTTCCGCCTGCCCCCGCATATCTCCCCTGTTCCTCCTTCCTCCCGCCTCCTTGTACATCCTCCTTGTGGTGGGAGCGGGAGAAGGACGAGGCGGAGGAGGAGGGAGAGAAAGCGCTCCTCGTGGTTTGAGTCGTTTGGGGTTTCTCGTCCTGGTGTGAGTCGTTCGGGCCCTTCTTCCTGGTGTGAGTCGTTCGGGCTCTTCGTGGTGTGAGTCGTTCGGGCTCTTCGTCCTGGTGTGAGTCGTTCGGGCTTCTCGTGGTGTGAGTTGTTCGGGCCCCTCGTCCTGGTGTGAGTCGTTCGGGCCCCTCCTCCTGGTGTGACTCGTTCGGGCTCCTCGTGGTGTGAGTCGTTCGGGGCCCTCGTCGTGGTGTGAGTCGTTCGGGCTCCTCGTGGTGTGAGTCGTTCGGGCGCCTCGTCCTGGTGTGAGTCGTTCGGGCCCCTCCTTCTGGTGTGAGTCGTTCGGGCTCTTCGTGGTGTGAGTCGTTCGGGCCCCTCGTCCTGGTGTGAGTCGTTCGGGCTCCTCGTGGCGTGAGGCGTTCGGGCACCTCGTCCCCTTTTGGGGCGTCTTGGGGGCCTCTTGGCGGCCCCAGGGGCTTCTAGGAGCGTCTTGGGTGCCTTGGGGGAGCCTCTTCGGGCCTCTTGGGAGCCTCTTGGAGGCCGTTTGGGGCGTCTTGGGGGCCTCTTGGCGGCCCCAGGGGTTTCCAGGAGCGTCTTGGGTGCCTCGGGGGAGCCTCTTGGGGCCTCTTGGGGGCCTCTTGGGGGCATCTTGGGGGCATCTTGGGGGCCTCTCGGAGGCCTCTTGGGGGCCTCTTGGGGCCATCTTGGGGCCTCTTGTGCCTCCTGGGCGCTTCTTGGGGCCATCGTGGAGGGGATGGATCAAAGAAGAGGGGAGCTTCAATGAGCGCTGCCCCCTCAGAAGGGCAAAATGCGCCCAAACCCGTCGTAAAATCAATGATTTTGCCTTGAAGGAAGAGGGGAGCTGTAATGAGCGCTGCCCCCTCAGGAGGCCAAAATGGGGCCAAAACCATAGTAAAATCAATGATTTTGGCTTCAAAGAAGAGGAGAGCATTTTTTCTGGTCCCCCCCGTCGGGGCCAGAATCCTCGTGAGGGGTGTCGTTTTTTAGCCCTCCCAGGAGTCGAAAAGGACCCCCCTGACCACCAGCGAAAGGACCTCTCCAGGCCCAGGGGGAGGGGGTAGGGGGAGGGGTAGACCCCTCCCCGAAGGGGAAGGAGGGTTGAGAACATAGCGGGCTCTCTAAACCATTCACGCCCAAAGGGCTGGTGGGATTCATTGGGCCCTTCACGGAGATCGCCATACGGAGATCACCGGATAGATGTCACTTGTTTCGGCGCGTTATGTTTCGTCTAGTTTGTTTTCGCTGCGAGGTCGCAAGCCTTCGTTTGGGTTTGCCGCGTTCCTTTGTTTCGAACGAAAGCTGCATCTGATTGATGGGCAGTGTCTAAAAGGAAAACGTAGAACGAATTGCGTGGCCGCTTTGTTTTGTTGTTGTGTTGGACAGAACGCGCGTTCCAAACAGAAGCAGCGTTTGGGTCCAGCGTTGTTTTCTGCTTCTAGAGTGGCCGCGTCAGTAGACGCCCTGCAGCTTGAAGCGTCTACCGGCTGTAATGCGCCCGATATGGTTGCAAAGATGTCGTTCTGGCTGTGAAGAGACCTAATGTCCCCCCTCTCGCTGTGGGCCTGGGAGAGGTGTGGGGAGGTGCTGTGGTTTTTTGTTTGTCCCCCCCCACTCGCTCGCGCCAGCCACTGTTCTACTCTGCGTGCGCCTCGGCGATCCCTCCGCTGCGCCTTCGTGGCGCTGCGTGCGCGAAGCCGGCGCCAAGGGGGAGGGGACAGGGGGAGGGGCACTGCTTTTCTCTTCTGCGGCACTCGGCTCCAGGCGAAGCTTGCGCGGGCCGGAGCCGCGGTTCGCAAGCAGCGCCGAGGGCGCGAGAGAGTCCGAGCCGGGCAGGGCGCTGCCCGGGCGCGGCCATTTCCGAGGGCCTCGCCAGGAGGAGGGCGCGCCGCCGGGCCCGCGGCGGGCAGCGAGGCGCAGCAGAGCGGGGCCCCCTCGCGGCGGCCTCGCGCCGAGCGGTGGCCAGGAGAGGGGCCGACGCGCAGGCAGAGGGGGAGCGACGCCGGAAGGCGGGGTCGTTTGCGCGGGCGTTCGCGCGCAAGCTGCCCGCGCGAGGTCGCGCGTGAGCACCCTCGTTTCCAATGGGGCGTGCCGCGCTGGCGGCCCGCGCAAGCCGCGGCGCAACGTCGCCGTGCCATCTCGCGTCAGAGCCGTTCTCTTCGTCGCTCGGGTGGCCGCTGCGGACGCGTGCCCAAAAGGACCGCCGAGAAGCGAGGGCATCCGAGCGGGATTGGCCCAGGCTTTCAGGCATGCCTCGCCTTGCGCCGCCTTGTGGCCGCGAGTCCTGCTGCGGGTCTTCGGTTCCTCCGGCAGACGACTGTTTCTTTGCTGCCTCAGGTGTGGTTTTCTTTTAGCGCCGACAGAAGCGCCGATGTCAACATGCAGGATGCACCAAGTGCGCGAGTGTTGGACGATGCGATGCCGTGGAAGAACACAAAGTGATTGAACCGGCTACAGCCACCGCGTGCGGGAGGGTTGAACTCTATGGTGAGCAATGTGGACCTCACCACGTTTGGAGTGGACACAGCAGTTCTGGGAGTGCCGACTGTGGACGGACAGCTATTCCAAGCACTGTTTGGAACGCGCACGCGGCACGCGTCGATGGCAGCTACTACGTGGGTGAAGATCCTTTCTGTCATGTGCATCGGATAGAGCACAATGGATCCAGAGTGCCATTCGCCTCCTATCGCCTGAGGATGGCATTCCACAAAACTCCCCTCCCTCTCCCCCCCTCCTCCCGTTCGCCTTCAATTCTCTCCTCCTTCTCCCCCCTCCTCCCGATCGCCCTCAATTTCGTTCCCCTCCTCTCCCTCGTCTCTCCCCTCCTATCCCCCACCCCCATCGCCTTCGCCTCGACATTGTGATCGGTCTCATTATCATCAGAATCATCAGGATCATCAGCATCATCATCATCATCATCATCATCATCATCATCATCATCAGCAGCAGCAGCAGCAGCAGCAGCAGCAGCATCAGCATCATCATCACCATCATCATCATCATCATTATCAACATCATCATCAGCATCATCAGCATCATCATCATCCCCCTTCCCCCCTCCCTTCCGCGCGCCCCACTGGTGTTTCTTGTGTCCCGTGTGATGACCAGTTTTACGCACCCACTGTTGGTGTACAATCTGCATGCCGAACATTGTTTTGAATATGTGTCCGTGCGTACATGCACGCCCTGTACAACTTCAAAGCAAAGCGCGTCTCCACATGCACAAGCAACACAACCCGACAGGCAACAACACAACACAGACGCCCCCCGCGAGGCGGCCCAGCTGCCCCGCCAGCACGTGCTGCCGGCAGGCCCCGCGGCGCCTGCGGCCGCGACCGCGACCGCGCGCCGCCGCCCGCTGCGCCCCCATAGGGCACCCCGGAGGCAAGCAGGGTGTGTCGTGGCATGCGCCTCCACTGCAGTCGAGCGTGTGGCACCGACGCGCGGCGGGCCCCAGAGCCGGCGGGGCGACACGCCAGGTCAGAGTTCTTGCAACCGCAGCCCTGGTCGCGTCCAAGACTTTGGAGGAGGGGGGGAGGAGGAGGAGGAGGAGGAGGAGGAGGAGGAGCAGGAGGA